TTGGGGGTTTAGGGGTTTAGGGTTTAGGGGTTTAGGCGTTTAGGGGTTTAGGGGTTAGGAAGTTTAGGGGTTTAGGGTCTAGGAAGTTTAGGATACCCTACCTCTCTAGATGAAGCCTGAGAACCCTACCTCGAAATGCCGGCTGAGGTACCGACGCCAAGCTGCCTTGCGACGGCATCCTCGTTCAGGGCAGCCTCATTGTGAACGAGTCGATGCTTACAGGCACTCTGGTGCTTAATGTAGAATGTAGAAGCCAAAATAATTGCCAATACTATATTGGGGGTTCCTTATCCTAATTATGGTAGTATAATATACCACAAAACCCATTCTAAGTTTTAAGGCCCCTATATTTGGGATGTTGGAAGTTTCGGGGAATTGGGTGTAGGATTCCGGAGTTTAGTAAGGGGGCTATGGGTTCAGGCTTGTGGGATAGAGGTTGGGAGTTTAGAGCGTGGGGTTCTGCGGTGCGAGGAGCTTAGTTTCGGGCCTGAGGCGTGGTCCTTGTTGTTTTGGTTTAAACGTGACTGTAAACATGTTTGGAGATTTCGAAACCGAAACGTGGCAACTGACGGCTACGATCATACTGATGTTGGGGGCATCACGGACGAGGACCACCCTTTGCACCAAGCCCGAAACTAAGAAGCCAATCTTTTGATATTTGCAAGCCAAATTAACCGCAACATCAACCTCAACCTCTCCACCAGGAAGCAGGTAAATCAGTTACGCCGGCCGGAAAGTACGCATGCCCACTTTTGTCGGTTCGTTACACCGGAGTCCAGATCAGTAGAAATCACCGATGCAAGCAGTGCTGTTGAGATGTTCTTGTCTTGGAACCTTTGAGTATCCGAGATGTTTATGAAGCCCTGCCATGTCCTACCCTACTCTCCAATGTAGCTGGCCATCTGATTAACCAGTGTTATGCCTAAGATGCTCAGAATATGTAGCTTTACCTCACCCTTACAGCCCGTATTGGGGCTGTAGTATTTAGTACCATATGCCCAAAGACCCTATTCTGATTCTGAGAGCCCGTTTGTTACCAGTTTTTGGACATTTGTGAGGAAAGTATACTGAGAGGATCACGGGACGCACCGCGGAGGGTAGGGTTCAGCCTCTCAAGCGGCAGGCGAGCCGATGCCTATTGCCAAGTCTCCTGTGGAGGACGCCTGCTGAGAGATTTGGGAGCATGGGGGCAAGGCTAATTTAGCCTTGCCCCTTAAAATCCTACGCCCAAACCCTAACCCTGCAAACCCTAAACCCGAAACACCATACCGTAACGCCAAAAGTACTTGGAAGCACTGCACTGGAGGTCTGGGTGCTTTAGGGCTGATAAATGTTGATACACATCAACATCCCTTCAATTACCCTAAGGCTCCTTTTCCCTCGTAGTGAGATCCCACACCTTCCGCCCAAAGCCGGAACTTTGCCCAGAAAGTCCATGACCCTCGTAGAATCCTCACTGTACATGCAAACTGATAGATCCGAAACCCTGAAACCTGTGTAACTAAGTTGTAGTAGCTGAGTAAAACTATTCCTTGGTTCCTTATGCGCTAATTCCGGCATACGTGGGTCATATTCGACGTCCAAAACCGCCCGCCCCGAAGCTCGATAGGATAACAGCCACTACAAAATTACGGACAAGCTCAACAAGGCCGGACCAAGAGCGATTCGTTCCGTTTAAGGGTAATGTTTTGGAAGTCCTTTAGAGGAATCCTGAATGGAATCCTGGAAAGGAACCCTTATAGATCCCCCTGTAGAGCCCCTTAAGGGCTCCTGTTAGGGATCCATGGGAATTCCTTCAAGGGTTCCTTTAAGGATAGAAAAGGATTCCTTTAAGGGTTCCCTTTAAGGGATATATAGGGATATATAGGGATTCCTCCTTTAGGGTTGAGGAAGAGCGTTGGGCATGAGGTTTCAGGGTATCGACTTCAAGCTTCAGGACGGACTCTGCGCCTTCCTTCGAGTATTTTCGGCACACACACACACTCTCTCTCTCTCTGTCTCTGTCTTTACACATCTATACATCTATAATCTATACATATGTGTATATATATATGGAGTAGTGACAGAATATAGGTAGCTTACTATGTATGTATATTATGTTGACAATCATATTCACGGCGTTGTGTTCTGTCTCTTGTTCGCTTGACCCTCCTGGCAGACACTGGGTGTTGCGTGCATGTTTTGACTTAGGAGGAGTTTCCAAAGCTGAAAAGCCCGCCGGAAGATCCCGTTAGAGGGTTAAGTGTTCAGTGCCGCATCTGTTTTTGCTTTTCTTAAGGGGGGGCGGGGTGGGTCTAGGGTATAACGGTCCATGTACATGACCCCTTCAGCTACGTCCCTATGCCGACAACAGCAATATTATATCGAGGTACATGAACCCTTGGGGCAAGTTTCCCTATGATTGCAACATTCGTTAAAGTACGAAACTTATTGGGGAAGACATGCATAAAAATCGACAACACCGCCGAACATGCCTTAGTCCATATGGAGTGCCTTCTCCCTTTGCAGTTTACGTTTTCAAGACTGTTTGTATGATGACCATAGTTCGTTGAAAGGGACCTCATGGGCTTTTTGGGAAGCAGATGTCCCTGCTCGTCTTTGGAATGCCCGGCCTTCATCGGGGTTCAATGGTTTTGGGTGTAGGGCCTAACTGCCAACCCCTGCAGAGCTGAGCATCAATTCCACTGGCACCAGCAAGGCGTACGCCGGCACGCTTGCTTTAGAATCGACGGGACCTGCGGAGGGGAAGGCGATGCTACTTGGACGCAGGGATGCACGTGGCCATGGGAGGCTTGTGCAAATTAAGTAGTTATAAATTATAAATATAGAGCCTAAGCCGCTAAAACTCTTCAGTTGCAGGAGTTGACCGGCCTTTCTCGAGGATAGGAGATTTAGGATTTGAGGCTTCGGGGTTAGCGATTTTTGAGGGTTGCATGCCGTTCAGGCTGGGTTATCAAGGGTTTGAAGGTGGAGCTAAAGGTCTTGGCTGTTGAGTCTTCTCTGAGTCTGTTTTGTATCTTCTTCACAGTGGTGAAGTGCGGTAAGGTACAATTCTTAGCAGAGCAGGTAACCTTGAGTGACTGTCTTGGGTACTACGATCATCCACTTATGACCCCACTGGTTAAGCTTTAGTCCCTCTGGGAACCCTGAACTTTAAACCCTAAACCCTAAACCCTTAACCCTAGATCCTAAACCCCAAACCCTAAACCCCCTAAACCCTACGCCGTAAACCGTATACCTTAAACCCTAAATCCTAAACCCTAAACCCCCTAAACCCTACACCGTAAACCCAAAACCCTAAACCGAGCAAGCAAGCAATATAAGGCAAGGCCTGAAGCCCGGAGCAGCAACTACTCAGCGGACTGGAAGCAGGGTTTGCAGGTGTAGGGTTTAGTTTGGGTTTGGGGTTAAGAAGTTAGGGTGTAGGGTTTAGTTCGGGGTCAGGGTTGAGAGTTTAGGGTTTAGAGTTTAGGGTTTAGAGTTCAGGGTTTAGAGTTTAGGCTTTAGAGTTCAGGGTTTAGAGTTTAGGGTTTAAGGTAAAGCGACTGTCAGAATCGTTTGCAGCTTACGCGGCTGTCATTTGGTGGGCTCTTCTTGGCTCAAGCCTTGACCGCCCGAAGCCATCTAGACGCGGTTTAGGGTTTAGTGTTTCTACGCTCCTCAGTGGTACCCTTTAATAGAACCAGATAGTAGGAAACAGGGTACCCTTATTATTTAGGGGCTACTGGGGAACCTAGGTTTAATTAGGGAACTCAAACCTTTAACAGCAGAGCTATGGGAGTTGAAGACCATCTGTCCATAAGCCTATGAACCCTTCATCCTACATTGACATGCAAGCTGACCCATGAATTTCCCACGGATACCTGTTTACAGCCACCAAGAGCCTCCCTAACGTCCAGGCTATACTGCACCAACGTCGGTGCACTGACGACGCGAGGCCTGTTCCACTTGAAACTTGCTCGCTTTTGGGCTTGGGATTTCGTGAAGATGGAACCGCTGTTTGATGGAACCAACTTGGCAATCTTGGTCATGGGAGAGCAAGATTGCTTGACAATCTTGGTGATCTTGCCCTACTTGCCGCACTAGATTGCCTTTTGGCGACCAAGAAAGCCAGATAGCTGGCAATCTTGCTCCCCCCACTTGCCCCAACTAGTTTACCTTTTGGAGACCAACATTGCAAGATTGCTTGGCAATCTTGCTCAAATAATTGTTCAAGATTCCCGGCGCGCTGTACCAGTAGCAGTATAGTGCTGCGTCAAGAGTAGCCAAGTCCCACCGAAGCAGACGAACACCATGAAAAGTCTTACTAAACCCTAAACCCTAAACCCTAAACCCTAAACCCTAAACCCTAAACCCTAATGTACCCTAAGGCAACGTCCAACACCCCAAGGCCACACGCCTGAACCCTAAACATGTAAACTCCGAACCCCCGAAACTAAGACCATAAGACCCGCAACCCAAGACCTTAGGGTTTAGGGTTTGGGGTTTAGAGTTTGGGGTTTAGGGTTTAGCATTTCGGGTTGAGGGTTTAGGGTTAGGGGTTTGGAGTTTAGGGTTTAGGATTTGGGGTTTAGGGTTTGGGGTTTAGGGTTTGGGGTTTGGGTTTTAGGGTTTAGGGTTTGGGGTTTAGGGTTTCAGGTTTAGGGTTTAAAACTCCAGGCCCGTCCACACAAACCCTAAGCCCCCACAAAACACACTTTCCCCAATGCGCTAGAACCTTGACAGCCTAGTACCCTCCCCTTGATCGTAGGCCCCCAAACCTTGGAACCCTGAATCGCTAGCACCCCCTGACCTGAAGCCTAGAATTCCGAACTGCAAGATCTTGCGCCAAAACACAAACCCTCAACCTTCAAGAAAGCGTTGTTGGTATCCTGTGAACATGTAATGTTATGAGGCTTCCATACTCAAACCCTATGCAACCTTTCTAGCTACCGCTAAAGCCGTTAAAGCAATCCTATTCGAAGAAGCCTAACTCCCAAACCTACGCGGGGTTTGTGCAGGTCAGTTGGTCCGGATGGTGCTATTCCCTGCGTCCGTGAAGTTCAAGTGCCATGGCTCTGCAATACGAAGTTACGGTTGGGGAAACATGAAATACATGTATGCTACCATAATCAAGAAGGCGCTTGTTTTGCTACAGCTCCCTATGATCTCTAACCCCGTACATATGCTCATTAGTTACTATGGATCTCTATCCTGGCAACTTAAGATAGAAACCAGAATACCGACGGGTGATCTGCCCGACCGGCCTAGCGTTTAGGGTGCAGGGTTCAGGGAAAGTTTAGGCTTGGAGAATGTAGGGTTTATGAAGAGTCTGACGCGTTTGTGAAGTCGAGGTTAAGAACTTCGGGGCATTTATTGGCATTCTGTGACTGATGAATGTGCTGGCCCGCTTTGGCTCCTCATAGGCGTGTTCTGCTATGCAATTGGGGTAATTACAGGAAAACTTGAATGGGGTTGTGGTTTGGACCCTTCTGCTTTGGTGCGCTTTGAGCCTTCCATAGATAGAGGGCTTAGGATTTTTCAAGGAAGGCACCGAATCCTTTGACCGTGGAGGCCCCAACTTCTTAATGAACGCTTAGAGTTGCAGTGCTCAGCTTCGGTGTATACCATAAGCGAACCCCATTATAGACTATAGAACCTTAGAGTACCCTTATAGAAGCCTTCAAGGGAACCCTATTGCGGAACCTTGTATGCCCGACAGAACGGGGTCTATTGGTGCTTAAAGTGGAAGCCAGAAAGTTGGAACATTATCCTGGTGACTTTACGTTTAATTGTAATGGATCCGAGCACGAATCATGCCATCTGGGGTTCGCTATATAAGTTTTGGGCTTTCAGGTTTCAGACAGAGCTGCAAGCAAGGTACAACGACCAGCTTCCCATGGTCTATGGCATCATGAGCATCTACGCATCTCGGCTCGTCTTCAGGAGTCTGGATCTACGGGCATCTACGGGATTTCCTTTTTCCGATCGAGCGTGGGGGTTCCGCCGGATGCACCCCCGGCCCAATCATTATCCCTAAACCCTAAACCCTAAACCCTAAACCGATTAACCTTCCCAAAACGAAGCACCCGAGGTCGCCGTCATCGTGCTCCTTTTGGTCTTTCTCGCCGACATTGGCTCGGCTGTGGCGACATACCTAACGGCCTCTGTTTCGCAGACAGGACAGGGTTAGTATGGAGACCTGACGAGTTTTGTGGTAGGACCATCCCTGAGTCCCTATAGCGCTATAATAGGGCTAGAATACTTACCGGTACTACTCCTCAGGGTTCCTTTATATTCTACTATATCAATACACCCTTTTCTAGTGATTCAGGCCCCTTCATCACCGAGTTTCTGGGCCCTTTGGACTCTTACGGCAAAACCCCCGGGAGCCACCTGAGGTTCTTTGCACCGTGGCTATGGCTCTGAGACTTGGTCTGACACCTGAGGCTTGAGAGTTTCTACGCGGGATGTTACAAGGGTTTATAGGGTTTGAGGTTTAGGGTTTAGGGTTTAAGGTTTTGCAAGTGTTTGGGGTTTGAGCTTTTGCAAGGGTTTGGGGTTTGAGGTTTAGGGTTCCGAGAAGTACCACGAAACCCTAAACCCTGAACCGCAGAAGTTCGTGCTAAGGGTTGGCGTGCTATTCAGGAGGGGTCCGGTGGTTGGGGTTTACTGTGAGGGTGCTCACAGTCTGCATAATCCTGAGGCTCTAATTAGGAATCATCTTGCAAAGCTTTCCGGCCGCCCCTCGACCTTACGGCATAAACGTTGCTCGCCGTTTGGGGTTTGGGATTTTTGGGTGTAGGGTTTAGGTACCATGAAGGTTTGACAGGAAACTTGTCCTGAATTTTGCTGGGTGCTACTGACCGCACTTCAGCAAGGGGTGCTGCCAATGTTATAGAGGCTCTTCCTGCTAAGGATCGTTGCAAAGGTTTGCGTTAAAGATCCCCCCATTCCTGAACTTCCAACATCTACTTGACAGTGCCTTCGCGTCTATAGTGCAAGATTTCGGCGAGAGTTAGCGCATGTCGTCACTCCAAACCGTCGTTGATTCATGCACCACCTATAGAGCACCTCTCAATCCATTACAAGTCGCTTCCAAGGACTACCAGAGGAAGTGCACGGATACTTCAAGGAAGTAGAAGCCATCGTGGTTATCCACCCGTTGTCTAGAATCGTAAAAAAATATTCTCCGGACCCTTGTGCACGCCTTCGAGTGCCGTGCGTGCGGGAGAAAATTCGAAGGCTGGTGTTGCACACAAGGCCCCAAACTTCCACAAAAGTCCAACAGATCCTAAAGCCTTGGTTATGAACCCCAACACTTCAGACTGCGGATCTGTTTCGCCCTCAGCCAATCTGTTTTAGATTACTCAAAATTGCAGTGCAACTTCGGGATAGCAGCTAGACTCCAATCGCCTCCAGTTCCACGGACTACCTGAAACGAGTGTTTGGCCCTGAACGCTGGACCTAGGCCCTAAGCCCTAATCGCAACACTCCACCCGAACAAATTTCTCAAGGAATCCGATGATGCCCGTGTCCATGGTCATGGGGCAGTCGGTGTCTGCGGGGACACTTGGGATTGCACATATGGGTAGTTCTCTAAATTAGGGTCCCTTTTTGGACCCCAAAAGGGACCCTGATTTTGAGAACTGCACATAGTCTTGATCGTTAGTCGTTGAGGCTCCTTCACACTGGTTGCATACCTGCACACCCCCACACTCCTCTTAATCTTCGATCGATCTACAGGCGTAAAGGCGGCATAAACCCTAGACCACCAACCTGTAAAAATCCTAGACCCTAAACACGCAAAATCCCTAAACCCTATAGACCCTAAACCCTAAACCCAAGCAGTGATAACAGATGCATTAGTCAGGTCTTTGGTCTTAAGCCCCTGGCTCCCGGCTGTAGGGCTCTGTGCGGTTCGTGGTGAGGTGCATGTAGGGTTTAGGTTGCCTGGACCCTAAACCCTAAACCTTAAACCCTAAACCCCTAAACCCTAAACCCTAAACCCTAAACCCTAAACCCTAAACCCCCTGGACCCTTAGAAACATTCATGTTTTGAGGGCTCCTTTTTTTGAGTTCCGTAAAGTGCGTCCTTAAAGCGGTAGGTTTCTAGGTTAGGCTGAGGGTTTAGGGTTTCGCCGGTACTTTCCTTCCTTTTGCTGCTCGACGCTGGGCCTGCAACTGCCGAGACGAGGCTTCAAGGAGGCTCTCGTTCCGTTCCCACTAAAGGCGCTTGGTCCCTGTACAATTATGTTCAACCATACCACGACCCCTGTTCGTATATACGTCCCTTATAACGAACCCTTTAAGAGTCCCCAACGCAGTCCTGAGCCTGTAACCCTGAACCGTCATCCGAGGTACTGTCTGTCTGTGTCTGTCTGTCTGTCTGTCTGTCTGTCTGTATGTATGTATGTATGTATGCATGGATGGATGGATGTATGTATGTATGTATGTATGTATGTATGTACCTATATATATATATATATGTACACACACATTTGTACATACGTGTGTACACATAACAGTGGCCCTAAACTCAGGTCAGCATAAATACTGAAATACCGTTTAGACACATGAGCAGTTACTGCGATACGTTTGATTTGAACTCCAAGTCTTAAGTCCCATGAGCTTCGTGGTAGGAGCTGATGCCGGAGTCTTAAATGCGAAGTCCGCTGGGGCTTATGGGGTTTAGGGTTTAGGAGTTTAGGGATTTAGGGTTTAGGGTTTAGTCGAGCATGTAAGGACCCAGAAGAAAGCTTTCCTTGGGTCCTGGAAGCATCTCACCTCCTGCTCAAGACTCAGGACTCGGAGCTCTAGTATGACGGCTTCAGGACTCGTTGACCATGACAGTCGGAGAAGTGTGTGAACACAAGTATACCTAAACCCCTAAACCTTGAACCCTAAACATCACTGAACCCTAAGCCCAAGCCTACAGGGGCTCCTGGCCACTGCTTAGGAGGTTCATGGGTAGTTAGAAGGGTAACTATATTTATAAACCATACTAGTGGACGTTTAGCCCTCCTTATAACCCTAAACCCAGACCCTACACCTTAAACACAGAGCCCATATTAGGGGACTAGTAACCCTCTTATAACGCTAATTGTCCAAGTACCTAATAGCCATATACTCTCCCAAATAGTAACCTACATGACTACTGTCCGAAACCTGAGTACCTAGTTATTGGGTCCTTTGGACCCCTAGGGTAACTACCCATGAACCTGAAAGTAGAGACCAAGAGCCCAGGCGCCTCGATGACAAGAAGGGCGAGTATCAGATCAAGTGCCTGCAGCCTGGAAGGCCCTGGAGTTTAGGGCGTTGGGGTTTAGGGTTAAGGGCTGGAAGTTTCAGGTTTTAAGGTTTCGAGATTAAAGTTTAGGGTTTAGCTTGAGGGTTTCTAGCTTTAGGGTTTAGGGTTTAGGGCTTGGAGTTTCAGATTTTTAAGGTTGAGGGATTAAAGGTTTAGGGTTAAGTTTTAGGGCTTCTAGCTTTAAGGTTTAGAGCTTTTGGGTTCTTTAAGGGGGTCTAGAAGGGTAGTTCTTTAAATTAGGGTCCCTTTATAGGTCCCCAGTATAGTACGGCACCCTTATAAGAAAAACCCTAAAGGGGACCCTAATTTAGAAAACTACCCAGAAGCCTTCTGGCCGACTGAGGCTTTCAAGTTGGATGTAGCGGCTTAGGCTCTAGAAACTGCTGCAAGAGTTAGCAGCAAAATAGAGTTCGTTTATTCCAGTACTGGGCGCGTTCGTAGTAGAAGAAGAAGTAGTAGTAGTAGTAGTAGTAGTTGTTGTTGTAGTAGTAGTAGTAGTAGTAGTAGTGGTAGTAGCAGGAGCAGTGCTAGCACGAGCAGAACTAGCAGTAGCAGTGGTAGGTAGCAGTAGCAGTGGCAGTGGCAATAGAAGCAGCAAGTGGGGAGTGGGAGTGCGAGTCGTCGTCGTCGCAGTTGCGGCTGTAGCCGCAATTTTGGGTGGAGAACTGTCTTACCGCTACTCACAAGTAAGTAGTTGTTGAATCAGCAGAGCAGCGACGCTGGGTAATAGGATCCTTTTCGCAAGGACACGGTTATAAGGCACTTGCGATGCATTGTTAGTTTTGCACCCTGTGTGCTGTCAGTCATGTGGGTCGTGGTCCCGACCGGAAGGATCCCCATTGCCGGGAAGATCTCGACCATGGTGTTCGACAAAACCGGGACGATCACCAAAGCAGGAGAACGCTGCATGCTCTGCCACGCTGTGTGCGCGTGTGTGTGTGTGTGTTTGCATCTCTATGCGTGTGTGCGTGTGTGTCTCTCTGCGCATGTGTGTGTGTGTGTGCTTCTTGCCATCTACCCACCCACCTAGCTACCGACCTATCCATCCATCTTTTTATCCATCTATCTGTCTGTCTGATGTGTCATTATGCACGACAGCAGTTTCATCACCTGATTCTGGAGCCACAGAGTCGACTTCTTGCAGCGGTGTAGGCTTGATTGGTCATCGCTGCCAGTCGCATGTAATAAAGAAGCCTAAATAGTTACCAATATTGCTGTTAGGGTTCCTAATTATAGTAATACCAGAAAGAGCCCAAAACCCGATTCTAATTTTTAAGGCCCCTACATCAGACAAAACGCCAAACCCTGAGCCCTAAGCCCTACTCTAGATGCGAAGCCCTAAGCAATTCTGTCGAAATCTCTGCAGATTTTCGCGATCTAGAATGTCAGGTACTCCACTGAAAAACAAGCCCTATCACAAAGGATCTGATTTCAACTTATTATTTAGACCTCCATATCAGAGAATTCTGTCCAAACTCGAAAGAAACCCGAAAGCCCAAAGCCCTCAAACAAAAATTCTCACAGAGCTCTAAACCCTGAACCGTATCAAGTCCCCCTTTGAGGAATGGACTTTGCTGGAGTTGTGGGCGCTGCATCTGGGCGCTTCAACACTCGCGTGGACTTCGACGACAGCGACCCCGCGTGGCCCTTGGAGGGACTCGGAGGTTCATGGGTACCATCCTTACTATGGCTTTTGGTGTGAGTTTAGGGTTTAGGGTTTATAAGGTTTAGGGTTTAGGGTTTAGGGTTTAGGGAGGATCATGGGACTTAGTAAGTAAGGTTATAAGTACCTTCATTGGGGTTATGGGTATTTATAAGTATAGTTACCATATTTATAACCCTAGTTACTAAACCCCATGATCCTTGAAGTACCATCCTTACTATGGTTTTGGGGGACCTAATTCCATAAATAGTAGTATATGTGGACCCTCTAATAAAGAGGCCGTATTAATACGGGTTAATTGTAGTATAATATACCCCAACACCCTGTTCTAACTATTCAGGCCCCTAAATTAGCCATAAGTAGGACTGCTAACATGGTGTCGAGTAAACAGAACCGACATATAAACCCCGCTCAACTACCTAAAATCCCAAGAATCGGTAAAATAATTGCCTAAAACCTACGAAGGACTATTAGTAACCCTAAACCCTAAACCCTAAACCCTAAACCCTAAACCCTAAACCTTATTCTGCACATTTTCGGGGGTCCAGGTCCCCATGAACCCCCCAAGGATCGGTTTAGGCTCTGTGGCTTAAGGCCCGGAGGAGTCTGAGGACTCGAAGATGATGAAGGAGGTGTTTAGGGTTTAGGGTTTAGGGTTTAGGGTTTAGGGTTCAGGAGTTTAGGGATTATCAGGTTCCGGGTCATGGGCGTTGGGTTTAGCTTTCAGGGCGGTCAGTGTTTCCATTCTGAGTATACGGTATCAAGCATCAAAACGCATAGAAAGGAATAGCCATGATGGCCGGTTCATACTATTGTTGGTAAGGATGAGACTCGAAAACGAAAAAAAGTGTGAGGACAACCACCACCTTCCTCTCATTCCTGACCCTCGCTTTACACTGCTGGAACCCGTTTTCAGGAGACACTGCCGCAGCATGTGCAGGCGCCTATGCCTATGTTTTTGGCTAACCCGTACTTAAATATACGCTAACGGGAAGGCTCTACAGATCCCAAACGCCTTACATGGCAAGATCGGGGCTGATGATTTGGCAGTCGAAGCCGTTACAGCCCGTATGAAACATAATCATTCTAGAAAGTACCTTTAAACCGTAGTTTGAATATTCTGGCCCCTAAATTACCGTCACTGCAGCCCAAAATGCCCGGCACCAAAACACCCAAATGTGGCCCGCTAGACTTAGCTAGACAGCAACTCTTGTGTTGTGTCTAAGGGCGTACAGGTAGAGTGATCCGGAAGTTGCGACCCAAACCAGAAGATGTCGCACATTTTGGGAATCCAGACAAGAGCTGAGTAAAGGCCTATGTTCCATATTCCATATACCGTGGCCTCAAAGGAGGCCAGCATATGCATAGTTAGGTAGAGTTTTAATGTATTTACTGTATGGGTGCATGCACCCTCGGAGTATTCCTCGTGTGTTCACGTAATCCAAGCATGTCTTCTTACCTTCGTTCCGTCACTCTACCGAGCCGAAGGGCTTGCCCCCACTGTGGAGGGACAAGAGGCTGTGACGCTGCGAGATCGGGCACTCATATGCCCGATCTGTTACGCCCAATGGAGTTGCTGGGGCTGGTCCCTAAACCCCTAAACCCCTAAACCCTATACCCTAAACCCTGAACCCTGAACCCTGAACCCTGGTGCTGGGGCTGGAAGCAGCATGTCGAGGCGACGAGGACGCCTGACAGCTCATCATGGGAGCCATACGGGAGTTTCCGAAAATAAGGGGTACCTTAGAATAAGGATCCTACTATTTGGGGTACTACATGAGGGCCCCTTATTTTCGGAAGCCCCCATATGGCTGCCAAAGCCGTCAGCGGCGCTTCTCGGACAGCCACAGTTGTGCTCAGCACGAGCACAAGGACCATCAACATCCTCAATCTCTTCCAGGCCTACTGAGCCCTAATCATGCCCAAGCCTACCTTCGTCCCCGACATTTCAACTTAAGTCCCCCCAGACCAAGAAACTCTACGCTGACCAGACACATGCCGAAGTCCGAACCTGCTCACAGAAAGCCCATGCAGTCCTTGTCCATGTTTTGGAGCATCCGAAAAGAGCCCAAAGTCCCTTAGTCAGGAGTGCTGCGGGCCAACAGCCCCAAACCCTAAGCCGTTAACCGTGCTCATTGCGCAGAAACTGGAGATTCCTTCGACAAGGAGCTGAACGGATTCTAGATGGGCTTCTTAGTTAAGGTGTGGGAGGGTGTTTATACTGCTGTCTGTGCGGGCTTAGATGGGTTTACAGGAGGTAAACTGAGTAAACCCTAAGCCCTCCACCCAGACCCTATAAACCTCATAACGATGAACCCTAAACCGGCATAAAGTCCTAACATGTACTGGAAGTTTATACCCTGCCCCAGAACCCATCTGCCGCTGAGGAGTGCACGCAGAACCGTGCCAAGGTAGACGACAAGCCCGGTTTCCCAGCGCGGGTTTGTTTGGATGGAACAACAGCTTCAGGGTTTGGGGTTGTTTCGGGTTTAATTCTAGGGTTTGACTATTGACGATTTTCGAAGCGTAGTTTAGCCAAAGTCCTATGCCCTATGCCCTGATTCATGTTCCAGTTTTGCCCTACCAATTCCTCGTGCATACTTCCGAGGTCTGAATCAGTTGTACGAGTTTCGCCGGGTAGCCTTTGAATTACGTTTCCTCCCCCAGCCGTGCTCGAATTATTGACGCCCGTGTGTTTCCTTATCATGCATATGCTCGAAACCTTGCGGGCATTGGTAAGGCTTGCTGCATGACCTGAGCCCTTTTCAGATTTAAGTATATACGGCCGAAAAGGGAGTTTAGTGCTCTGTTGTTATCTTATGCGGCTTGCCAGACCTTGGTCAACCGATGCTTTCAACTCTGAATCCAAAGCCCTACGTAGCCCTAAAACCTGAAAGCCTAGACCCTTATTGATCCCAACACTTCCTACGCCCAACCCCCCTCCACTGAGCCTCGAAATCCTGAACCTACCTAAGTCGTTTTTCTCCGGCGCCAGCCTCCATATGTGAGCATTATCCCATGACCCGAAATCCCAAAGTTCTATGAGATTCCAGCAGCCGCAGCATTCATATCAGATGAAACAAGAACAAGAATGACAAGAACAGCACGAACAAGAAGGAACATATTACGAATGCCATAAGACTGATAATCGAAACATCAAAAATAGCAATATCACAGGATGCAAGTGCCGCCGGTGCTTCGCAGGGTCGGGTTCTCAGAAGCGGCGGAGAGCCGGAGATGTCCGGCAGTTGTTTTTGAGGGGATTAAGGGTTAAGGGTTAAGGGTCGAAGATGGGGGATTTAGGTTTCAGGATTTAGAATTTAGGGTTCTGGATTTAGGGTACAGGGTTTAGAGTGTTGGGCTGCATAAGTGGCTTTGGGGTTTAGGGTTAATGGTTTTAGAAAGGGCTTGGGATTTGTGTTGGAGGTGTAGGGATTCAGCGCTGTGCGCGTTTGTAGAGGGCTTTGTGTTTGGGTTCATTTGTCGCAAACCCAGAATAAATCCCATAAATGCTCAAAGAAAGAACAGTCGAAGCCCTCCGAGGAAACCTCAAAGAGGGTATCGTAAGCCCCCAAAAAAGCTATAGGTTCCTTAAGTTCCAAACAGTTTAAGCAGGAATCCTGAGTCCCCAATTCTGATTCCCACGAGGTTGTAAGAACTAGAAACCACTGCAAGCGTTTCACTCATGGAAACTAGTTGTCTCGGTTTAGGGTTTAGGGTTCCTTGGACAGGTATTTGCTATAGTTGTTCTATAGGTGTGGAGGGTTTGGGGCTTCAAGTGGAAAACTCAGCAACGGAGCACCTTTCTATTTCTTGAAGGCCTTAGTATGAAGACCCCAACTAGAATCCTTTGTAAGGGAGGGGGTTTGTTTATCAGGGGTCTACATTGCAGAATTGGCCTATGAAGGCCCCCTAGGCGTTGCAAGCTGTATGGACGTGTTACTGGCCTGCAACCCTAAACCCTAGACCCTAAACCCTAAACCCCTAAACCCTAAACCCTAAAACCCTAAACCCTAAACCCCTAAACCCTAAACTCGTAAGCCTTCAGAGTTCCCGCTCTTTCGAGGCCTTGGCGGTCTGTCACACCGTGAAGAAGCTGGGCTCCACAGGGGCTCTGGTCGGAAATCAGGCAGTCGGGAGGGTTTTGGAGGCAGGTCTTGGAAACCCTGCAAATACTAATTCTCTAGACTACTAGACATCCCTGTAACCAATACTATTTTGGGGGGGTTTCCATATTATGACTATAGTAGAATGGGCCCCAAAACGCCGTTCTAACTATTAAGGCCCCTACATTAATTATCCAGGGTTAGTGTTGGGGCTTAGTGTCGGGAATGGGCTCGCAGAGATTCAGACTCAGAGTTAAGAGTCCGGTCGTTGAGAGCTGTTGGCTTCGTAGCCGTGTTTCTTTGATGAGGGTTTAGGGTTTCAGATACGCAATGAGGGGGCTTAGAGATGGGCGCTAGAGGAGACCCTAAATCCTAAACCCTGAACCCTAAAACTCTCAATCCAAAGGCCTAAACCCTGAACCCGAAAGCCTAAACCCTGAACCCTGAACCCTAAACCCTAAATCCTAAACCCTAAACCCTAAACCGTTGAGCTCTGGCGACGTTACCTTGGCATGGAACCCGAAACTCATCAGCTCGGAAGGCTAACAGACCCAAACAAAAACCCAAGAGCCCCATAGAGCCCTAAACCCTCGGAAGCCCCATTAACCCCGAAGCCCCACAATAGGGTTGAGGGTTTTAGGGTTTAGGGATTTAGGGTTTTAGGGTTTCGGGTTTTTGGGGTTTTAGGGTTTTACGGATTAGGGTTTCAGGTTTTAGGGTGTTAAGGGTTTAGGGGGTTTAAGGGACTGTGGGTACGTACCGGAGGTCGAATGTGCCATGGTTCGCACAGTGGGCTGGAAGCTGGGAGTGAAGGACCGGTGCATTTGGGGTTTAGGCTTCAGGACTTTAGGGGTTTGGGACTTAGGGGTTTAGGCGTCAGGTTTTCGGGTTTAGGGTTAAAGTTGTCGGAGGCTTCCAAAACCCTAAACATCAAACCCTAAACCCTAAACCCTACACCCTAAATGGTGGGATGACGTCTGGCAGGGATTAAGGATCATTTCGATAAGGGGCTTGTGGTTGGGATTACCCCGCCTAGCTTCATCCAACGCTTGGAGGCCCTTGAGGCTTTCAAGCTTTACCTTAGGGACGACATGAACCCTAAAATGATTCAAGGTTCATCTACTAGTCATCTACCACATAGGGATTCATAGATCTAACATATAGGGATTCATAGTATATGGGAATAAGGCCCTTACCTGAAAGGGTCATTTGGTCCTCAAGGTAGGGCCCGGCGTTTGGGCTTCAGGGTTTAGGGTTCTCCATGTTGCCTGCAGGAGTCCATGTAGGAGGGTTTAGGCAACTACGTACACCCCATAATCACCTTAAAGCCGAAACCCCAAATCGTAACACTGTAGCCTCCATGGTTGTTCCGAGCAGTAAGAAGTGAAGTTGTTCCAGGGGTCACGTTGCCATAAACCTGCTGCAGAAGTACGGGTTCGGCGCAAGATTTAGGATTTTGGACGCTGGGTTTGGGTGCTGCATTCCATCATGTGGCCTTATTGGAGTTGCATGGGTCGTTACAAGTGGGGTTTACAAGTATGGCAACTAAAATCATAAACCCACATCAACGGGCCTATAGCCCCACTTACAACCCTAAACCCTATAGAACCCTAAATGGAAACCCTGAACCCTGAACCCTGAACCCTAAACCCTAAACCCTAAACCCTAAACCCTAAAACCCAAGTTCCGAAGTGATGGACCGGCACTGGGGAATTGATCCAGAGACTCAGAGTTTCTGATATGGTCCAGAGTTCATGATCTAATTTAAGGGTTTCGGGTTTAGGGTTTCGGTTTCTGGTTTCGGGTTTAAGGTTTAGGGTTTAGGGTTTAAGGTTCAGGGTTTAGGGTTTCGGGTTTAGGGTTTCTGTTTCGGTTTCCGTTTCCGGGTTTAGGGTACCAATCACTCCAGAGAAATGCCTTGCCGAAGGCCTTGTGCAGGCTGATCCTTATCTGAATACTGTATAATCTATCCCAGCCCGAGTCTAATCGCTAATGCCCCTGTAGGCCCCACATTTCGGCTGAAGCTCTGTATAAGTCCTAGACTTCTTGGCCCGATAGGATCCCTAAACCCTAAACCCTAAACCCCGCTCTATATAGGTAGGTAGTTGTCAAAATTATGGGCCCTTTTGGGGTACCCTAAATAATGGGTGCCGTATTATAATAAGGACCCAAAAAGGGACCATAATTTTGACAGCCACCCATATAAGTCCTAGGCTTCTTGGCCCGATCCGATGGCAGGAGATGATCTCCCCGCAGGGCGAAGTCTTGAAAGTTGTTCGTGAGCTCGAGTTCGACCACCACAGCACCCTCACTGCTAAACCCTAAACCCTTAAACCCTCAAACCCTTGACCCAAAGCCCTAAACCCTAGGCCCTATAACCCTAAACCCTAAGCCCTGAACCCTATACCCTAAACCCTATAAGCCCCATGCCCTAAACCCAAAGCCCTAAATCCAAACCTTCTGCGTTTCGGGTCTTAGATTCAGGCGTTGAAGGGCTCTACGCGTCCTCGGGGCTTCAGGAACTCCCGGGGTGCACGGCCTTAGGGGGTTTTGGGGGCTTTAGGGGTTTAGGGTTTAGGGGTTTAAGGGTTTAAGGGTTTAGGGTTTAGGGTTCAGGGGTTTAGGGTTTAGGCTTTGGGCTTAGGGGGGTTGCTGGCTTCTTTGGTTAGTTTTTCTCAGTGCCTTGACACATGGATCAAGCCTATCAGGGATTTCGGCTTTACCAGAGCTGTCTGAACAATTCGTAACAACGCCCCACTTCTTCCGAAACTTGATAGCAGCAGTTGTGGGATCATAAGTTTCCACGATCCGCAAGAGGAGCCTTTTAAAATGCTGATTCATTCAGATGGCCTTCCTATGCCGTGTCGTTTACACTAATCTCCCACATGGCGATCGTTATTTGTTTACTGCCATTTTATAGCCCCGCGATACTGATACTGAGCTCAACAAACCCTGATCTGCTTAGGCCGTGTTACTCTAAACCCTAAACCCTAAACCCTAAACCCTAAACCCTAAACCCTAAACCCTAAACCCTAGTCCTTGACTGCGTGACTCCTTGTCGCCAGAGGCATGACTAGCGGTGCGGTGGCAAGAGATGCATCCGGGAAACTGGAGGCTGGTTGTATAACTGACAGCCCAGTTACGTAATGAGGGGGCAGACCAGAGCAGAATAATAGCCCTAAACCCTAAACTGCCTAGGATCTGGGCAGCCGGGTTTCTAGCATGAGTTCATGGGGTTGCAGCTTCCGTAGGATTCGGATTCTTCGTCTGCAGAGGTTTAGGGTTTAGGGTTTAGGGTTCAGGGTTTAGGGTTCAGGGTTTAGGGTTTAGGGTTTAGGGTTCAGGGTTTAGAGTTTAGGGTTCAGGGATGGCTTTTAAAGGGCCTGGAAACGGGCGGGGTGTGTTTTCGACTGAGCAGTAGAGTCACTAAGCTATAACCCTTCTTGGGTATTATATTCACTTCACCTCAACTTGAGACACTGAACAGATAACCAGGACCACCGAAAAGACCGAACCCTGAACCCTAAACCCTAAACCCTAAACCCTAAACCCTAAACCCTGAACCCCCAAAAAAGCTGCAGGGACCTAAGGAGCAGGGAGCCTCGCAACTGCAAAGTCATCGCAGCGCACATCCTCGAAAGTCACCTTACGCAAATCCTGGAATCGGGAAGCAAGTTCTCAGAACTAATGTATCGGTGTACTTTATGTATATACATATATATTTTTCTTCTTCCGGCAGGCTCAAAGTCGAAG